TTTAATAAGAAATTGTAACTAATGAAAAATATTTTATCAACAGCATCAATATTTGTTGATCATAGTATTTTAATTTTTATTTAATTTAAATACTGTTACCTCTTTAATGAATTTCTTGTTTATTTTTTTCTTGGATTTTTCGTTTGCCATCCAGAATCTTTTTAGCGCAACCATCAAATTACTATTCATCACATTTGCTTTTGATACTTCGCCAAATGCTCCGGTACCAACTACTTCTTTATTGGTAAAAGTTTCAAAGTCGTAAAACTTTATTTGATTTTTTATCATCGCAAGCTCAATCCATTCATTTTTGTTAGATGAAGATGATGAGGACGATGACATTTTACAACGATAATGACAACCATTGTTCTACTACATGTATTGCTATCACTATTTATCAAAGTACTGTTACATTCGTAATACCAATTTCGACGATCCTCTTAATTTTAGTAGGATCGTTTTGTGCCAATGTTCTTAAAAACAAAGAAAATTCTAATCAAAAAATTTGCGGCGCACTTCCTTATATGAGTCCAGAGGTACTAAATAGGTTTGGAATGATTACGTACGAGGTTGTCACAGGTGAATAACATTTGGTGAACGAAGTCATGATATAGATCTCGTATGCGACATTTATAAAGGAGTACGACCTACGATACAAATGTTATTCAAGTTTATTATTTAAAAATGTTGGGATCATATTCCAGAAAATAGAACAATGCTAAGAAACTTGAAGACTTTATCCACTCTATCAAATATGGAGATACGACAAAGTTTAATGCGTTGAATGCTTTGCATTCCAGTACTACAACTTTTGAGACACATGAAATTAAAGTGTCTTAAACTAGAAATGCAGAAATTAGATGAACTTGATAAGGAGATGAAATTAAAAAAGAGCATTCCTACGAATACGAACAAAAAGCAACAAATCCACTCCAATGCAGTTTACACCAGTCGAATATTTACCACAAAATTAATTTCAATTCCAACTGAGACTGGTACTTTTATTTTGAAATATGAAGTATATTAGCATTTAGTAATTAAAATTCATATCAAATGTATAGGAATGTCAAGTGTTAGTTTGTTCCAAACGAAGGTAAAATAACATTTATTATTTTTCTTTGTGTGCAAAACAGATCTCGATTTTAGTATTCCACATGACGAAAATATATCGGTTGACTTGCAAGAAAAACTACAGACTCATGATGAAACGCTTCCAACAAAGTAAACAATATATATACTTTAGACTTTATTAAATTAAGTTGACAACAATAATAATTATATCTTTTATTACATGTAACTGTGTCTCGAGTTAAAGCACAACAAAAGCAGTTTTTACTTTATACAGATAAATAAATTTTGATAAAAATTTATTTTACTTAGGAACTTTTATACTATACGTAGTTTGTTCGTTTAATTGATATGTTTATAATATAATGACACATTAGAATTAGAAATTTTGAGTTTATATTAAAGCAAAATTCGATATCGCTATGTATTATCGCTACGTATCGGTATTGTAGAACTTAATACATGCACATGTATTACGCCTACAACATGCATTTGAAAGAAGAGCCTCTATTTACACAAATAGAATTCATAAAAGGTTTCTTTTATCGTTATACGTTCTGTCTTATTTTCTTGCATATATGTAACAATATCGATTTTCCACACAACAACGATAAATGGCTCGTCTTTTCAAATTTAATTGGTCCAAATGTGCTTGCTTGTTGGTGCCAAATTCCGTATCGGTATACGTACATGTGCAATGCCCATCTCTAAATGTTTAACTATCGCTATTGGTAGACCTCCTGTGTTTATGCGCTTCCTTTTTTTTTTATAGGGTGTGCATTTATAGAGTAAATTCTTAAAGATCTTACAAGCTTGGAACTGAGTCGGAATGTGTACATGTATTTAGGAAGAGTTATAATTGGAGGTTTCACTGTATTGGATTTTATAGCAATATGTTGGTAATTCAGATAGAAATTTTATTAGTTAGCATTGAATATCTTAAAGGCTGACCATAATGCTCTCTTTTGTTAAAAATTTAAACCTTGATTTTTGTAAACTGATTAGTTTTTACAAAATGAATAATTCAAGATTCACAGTATAATTTCTTTGAAAATTGATGTTACTATAATAATAGCTTTGAGATTAAAGTAAGTCTAAATTTTCTACAAGGTGGATACAACAATCAACGCTTTACAGTAGTTTAAGATTATTATAGGAAGAGATTAATAATTTTCTTATTTTAATAAAGAATTCACTTGTTCTTTTCGTGCACCATAGACAAAAGTAGTGCTATCGCTATGCATCTGTAACAATATACATGTATACGTACATGTACAAGCATACATGCATGCAGGTTGTAAACGACATTGAAGTGATATTAAATACGTACATGTATTAAATGACATATTTGTCAACACGGCTAAATACATGTACATGTCTTTCAACTGATATCGATATCGATATTGATATTACTGCGTACTTCATTCACGTTTTCTATAAATAGGGCTTCTTATATTTGTTAGAAAAATTTCATATTCTTCAAAATACCACACCAAAAAAATGAATTTCCAACACATCAATCGGATTCTTGCATTGTTGATTATCATCCTCTTCGTCCATGGTTGCCGCAGCACCTATTCCTACAAGTGACGAAGGAGACATTCTCAGTGGCAATCAAGTTGTTGTACCTATAAGTCTACCAATTACTGTTAGCGGAACTGCTGTTGGTGTTCTTGGTACAGCTGATTCTAAAGTAAAAATTACACAGTAAATACAGTATCAAATACAATAATAACGGTTTTTGCATACAACACACACTTTTATTATATATAATGCATCATCTATAGCGATAGATGACTGTAATTAATACCCCAAATTTGTTATTCATTCACAAACTTGTTATTCACATGTACCGATATGTACGTAATACGTAAAATCAATACCGATCGTGAACACGTGATCGGCAATGCGATTTCAAAAAAAATTATTGGGATAATTGGTTTGAAACAATATTAAAAGTTATACTAATGCAATACAGTATTGTTATCATTCTCATCAAAAATTTCATAATTACTTAATTTTTGATCAACAAAAATTAAGATGTATTACAAAGTAAATTGATATAATATCATTAATTCAATGATGATTGAATTAATTTATCTCTTTATTTTTACATTATATTTTTACAAGTTTGTTTACTAATCATTAAATTAGCTTACAACTTGAACTTGGATTGGAAGAGAGTAATAGACTGATAAAAATATTAAAAAGAAAAGAGGGATATTGTTACAAGTTTGTTCACTAATCATGAAATTAGTTTACAAACAAGAACCTGGATTGGAAGAGAGTATAAACTGATAAAGAAAATATTAAGAGAGAAAAGGAGTATCTAAGATTTATGCCAATTTCTACGGAAATTGTGTTTACTTGAAAGAGAATAATAATGTGAGAGAGTTGTGAAAGAGTAAAGGTCAAAGAAAAAAGAGAATAAAGAAATAATAATGGAAATTTAAAGGAGAATTTTATACTTGTATAAAGCTTTATAAAACAAAGCTAATATAATTAGTAATAACAATAACAAAGACTCTTTCACTTTGTTCTTCTTACAAGTGAGAAATATTCATTAACAATTAAAAATTCAAATTATAAAAAGTAAAATACTTATAAATCCAATTTCAATAATTCCAATATAGCAATTTGTTCAGCATAATACAATATAAAGCTCAATAATCTAATAACAACAATTTGTTTGGCATAATATGATATAAAGTCCAAAGTCAATAATAATGATTTGCTTAGTGTAATATAATATAAAGCCATTAGCGATTTGATAAGTTCAATATGATATAAAAGATCACTTATATACAAGATTTGAAGTGTATAAAGAAAATATAAGAGGCAGAAAGTATTTGAAAGAAGATTTTTGTTAAGAGAGATTTTTATTTTTCAGTTACAACATGTCGAGTTAAGGCTCAGACAACACTTCTATTTATACATTTTTCAAAATTATAAAAGATAAAATAAATAATTATAAAAATATATAAAGTGAAAAGTAAAAAGTAAAAATCTTGAAAAAGTAAAAAGTAAATAGTATAAAATTAAAATGTGAAATAACTAAAAGTGAAAATATATATATAAAAGTGAAAAATAAATCAAAAAAATGAAATAATAAAAGTAAAAAATGAAAAAGTGAAATAATAAAAGTGAAAAAATGAAAAGTGAAATAATTAAAGTGAAATAATATATATAAAAGTGAAAAATAAAAAGTGAAATTTCTAAAAAGTGAAAAATCAAAAGTAAAATTTCTAAAGTGAAAAATAAAAAGTGAAATAATACTAGAGGATTTTGTCATTATTTGAATATTTTTGAAATTTTCATGCTTTTCAATTATTTTTGAATTTACAATTTTTATATTACTATTATAACAATATTTAAGATCTATATCAATTTTTACAGAAATTATATTTACTTAAAAAAATAATAATATAGGAGAGTAAAAATCAAAGAGAAAAAAGTATATAAAAAATTAATAAAGAAAATTTGAAAGATTAATTTTCTGTACTTATAAAAGCTTTTTAGAACAAAATAGTATAATTAATAATAACAAAAATCTTTCATTTGTTTTTTTTATAAATAAGAATATTCATTAATAATCAAAATAACAAAAATCAAAATACTTAATATCCAAAATTAATAATTTTAATACAATAATTTGTTTAGTATAATATAATATAAAGCTTAATAATTCAATAATAATAATTTGTACAGTATAATTTGTACAGTATAATATGATCTAAAGTACAAAGTCAATAACAATAATATAAAATTATTAGTAATTTGTTAAATATAATATTATATAAAATTATTTATATACAAAATTTAAAGGGTATTATTACAATAGTAATATAAAAATCACAAATTCAAAAATAATTGAAAAATATAAAAATTTCAAAAATATTTAAATGACAACAAAATCTCTTAGTATTATTTCATTTTTTATTATTTCACTTTTTAGAAATTTCACTTTTTATTTTTAACTTTTTAATTATTTTACTTTTTATTTTTCATTTTTATATATTATTTCACTTTTATTATTTCACTTTTTATTTTTTTCACTTTTATTATTTTACTTTTTCGATTTTTCACTTTTTATTTTTCATCTTTATATATGTAATTTCACTTTTAATTATTTCACTTTTTAATTTTTCACTTTTTATTTTTTGCTTTTTCGAAATTTTACTTTTTATTTTTCACTTTTATATAAGTCATTTCACTTTTATAATTAGTTATTTCACTATTATATATTTTTATAATTATTTATTTCACTTTTTGTAATTTCAAAAAATGTA